AGTTATTATCGGAAATTTATTTCCAATTTCAGTAAAATTGCCATGCCCTTATACAAGTTGCTAAAAAGGATGCCCATTTTGAGTGGTTAGACGAGCAAGAAAATGCTTTCCACAGGTTGAAACAGAAATTGATTTCGCAACCCATATTGCAACCCCACGTTATATAATAAAGAGTGGAAAACTGTAGTGTATGTCAACCTACGACAAACTGACAGTGAGACGGAGCAGCTAGGCCAGTATATCAGTTATATAAATAAATTATGCCAGGCTACTGAGGTTCAAAACTAGACAGACTGTAATCATTTTTCTTCATTGTCTAATGATAGACTTAAGNGTTGCTAAAAAGGATGCCCATTTTGAGTGGTTAGACGAGCAAGAAAATGCTTTCCACAGGTTGAAACAGAAATTGATTTCGCAACCCATATTGCAACCCCACGTTATATAATAAAGAGTGGAAAACTGTAGTGTATGTCAACCTACGACAAACTGACAGTGAGACGGAGCAGCTAGGCCAGTATATCAGTTATATACTTAAATTATGCCAGGCTACTGAGGTTCAAAACTAGACAGACTGTAATCATTTTTCTTCATTGTCTAATGATAGACTTAAGCAGGTAAAAGGGACTGAAAAACTGTTGCACAAATTAATTGGAAATTCGGACACATCCGCAAACGAAGGGGAGCTCTAAATTCTGTGGGATATTATTTGGAACCCTAGATTCGGATGACGCCAATTATTATAATGAGCAGATTAAGCATTCTGAAGAAGAAACCGAAGACATGACTAGCATCATGAAACAGCAACTCTCTATAATAAATGCATCGCTAGGAACAATGAATACTACTATCTCCGACATGGAATACAATGACCATGTAATTAAGGAGGGATTGTCTAGCTTAAAATCTTACATGGAGAAGTTCAGCGCAGAAATGGAAATGCAGTTAAACATACTGAGTGTAAAGGTCACAGTAGAGGGACACATCACTCGAGCTAATCGTGCTCTTGATGCCATGCAGAGGAATTTAGATTTGATGATAGAGCGTCCTAAACGCACAAAAGGGTATTTTGCAACCCCAAATCTACTTATGGAGAAATTACAAAAAAGTGCTTTAGTATTTCCAAAAGATACTGTGGGAGCATCCCCACAGCGTCTAGCAGACAACCTTCGCCCCATGCAGAAAGTGCCAAACAGGCAGCTGTGACCAAAGGGACACGGAATTTATACCATTTCCAACTGCTATGACTTATATAGCAGCTACATATATTTATAAACTTCACCGTGGCCCCGCCTTTCGTGCACGGCCCAATGGATGCGCGCCGTGACAACTGCAACTTTAGCTCCGCCTCCCGACTGGCAGTATTTAAGACCGGGAACCAATGGTGCAATCAGTTCAACTCGAAACGGCAACGCAGTCAGAGGCATCAACTCCACTTCTGCTACCGGGCAACTGACATAGCTGCCGCGAGCCTTCATCGAACGCATCTCCCGCAACCCAGCAACCGGCCGAGCCAGTCGATCCTACCGGCACGCTCAGCACTGCATCACCGCCCAGACAGGCCAGCCAACGCTTGAATATTATACGTGTATTCTGTGTTCTGTATATTGACTTTAAACGATTCAATATATACAATTGTACAGTTTCGTGTGGTTTGTCTATTGGAGTATTGACGACAATCCCACATTGGTGACCCCGATAAAGTATGGAGACCGTTGACAGCACAACAACCGAGGCCCCGAGTGACTGTGCGGCTCCCGCCGTTCTGGGCCGAGCAGCCTGCCGTATGGTTCGCCCAGGCTGAGGCACAGATTTCATTGGCCAACATCAGAGACGAACAAACGAAATTTTATTACACAATCTCACAGCTGCACCAACGTTATGCGGCAAGCGTTGCGGACATCATCACTGCGCCACCCAAACATAACCCCTACGCCACGCTCAGGGCCGAGCTCGTGGGGTGACTGACCCCCTCGAAGGAGCAACTCATCACGGTCGAGGAGATGAGCGACCGTAAACCTTTGCAGTTCTTGAGGCATCTCAGAACCCTCGCCCCTGACATGCCCGAGTACACCCTGCGCACCATCTGGTCCAGTCGGCTGCCTCCACACATAAGGACCATATTCACTGGCCAAAATGATTGCAGTTTGGAAGCCGCTGCCCAGACCGCATCACTGAGGCCGCACTGCAACCGGCGCTCGCTAGCGTTGGGCCATCACCCAACGCCGCACTCAGGGAAGAAATAGAGGACCTCTCCAGACAGGTGGCAGCACTCTGGGCCGAGCAGAACCGCCCCCGCAACAGCTCCAGAGACCCTCCGCCCAACTCCAAAGAGCATCCTCCCAACCCCAGAGACCCCCGCTACAGAGCCACGTTCTCCCACCCAGTTACCAGGAACCACCACACACACAACAGATCCCCTTCCCGAGACGACCCTGCAACCACCCTCTGCTGGTACCATTGTCAATTCGGGGCCCGGGCACAAAGGTGTACCTCACCCTGTGACTACCACCAGCAGGGAAACTAAAGCAGCAGACACCACCGGCAGCACGCGTCTGCTCTATAACAACGGGCCGCCTCTTCATCACCGACAAGTACAGCAAGCGGCAGTTCCTGGTCGACACCGGTTCCGGCTTGTTCCGCGATGGAAGGAGAGGGTGAACTACGACCTCTGCGCTGCTAATGGCACTACCATCCACACCTATGGATGGCTGCCTCTTAGCCTCAACCTGGGTCTCCGCCGGGATTTCATGTGGCGTTTCATAGTGGCCGACGTCACGCATCCCATCATCGGTGTGGACTTCCTCTCCCATTTTGGCCTGTTGGTGGACTGCCGAAACGAGCGTCTCATGGACAGGGTCACGACGTTATCCGTACAGGCTCAAGCCACCAGCATGCAGATCTCAAGCGTCAAGACCAACACTGGTGGCACACCGATCGAGAGCCTCATCTCCGAATTCCCGGACCTCATTCGCCCAGCCAGAGTCCAGCGCAAAGTCCGCCACAGCACCGTGCATCATATACGGACGATACCAGGCCCGCCAGTGACCTGCCGACCCCGGCGGCTAGCACCAGACCGACTAGCCATCGCCAAGTCAGAGTTCGACGTTATGCTGCGAGATGGCACAGCTCGCCGCTCTGAAAGCTCCTGGTCTTCGGCACTGCACGTCGTTCCCAAAAAGGACAACGGTTGGCGTCCTTGCGGCGACTATAGAGCGCTCAACGCCCGGACAATCCCTGACCGCTACCCAGTCCCACACATCCACGACTATTCACACCAACTCCATGGCTGTACCATTTTCTCCAAAATTGACTTGGTACGAGCCTATAACTAAATTCCCGTCAATCCCGGCGACATCCAGAAGACGGCCATTACCACTCCTTTCGGCCTGTTCGAGTTTCCCTTCATGTCCTTCAGCCTGCGCAGTGCCGCCCAAACCTTCCAACGGTTTATGTACAACATTCTGCGGGGACTCGACTTCTGCTTCGCGTACCTGGACGATATCCTCGTATTCTCCCGATCACCAGAGGAGCACGAGATTCACCTGCGGGAACTCTTCCAGCAACTCCAGAAACACGGGATCATAATCAACCCGGCGAAATGCGTCTTCCAAGCACCCGAGGTCACCTTCCTCGGCTACAAGGTGTCCGCCGAGGGGTCCCAACCTCTGGCAGAGCGAGTAACTTATCTGCAGGACTGCCAACCACCAAAGACCGCCATCCAGCTCCGTCGTTTCCTGGGCATGGTTAACTTCTACCAGCGATTTCTACCCCACGCGGCTACCACCCAAGCACTACTGCACGACGTCTCTATAGCCCTAGAGTCAAGGGCTCCCACCCCATCTCCTGGGCACCGGAGCTCCTGAAGGCGTTTGAAGAGTGCAAGGCGAGCCTGTCACACGCCACTCTGCTCGCGCACCCTGACCCATCCGCTCCACTCGCACTCGTCACGGATGCCTCCACGTCCGCCATGGGTGCCGTGCTGCAGCAACAAGTCAACAACGTCTGGCAGCCCCTCGCTTTTTTCTCAAAGAAACTTAACCCTGCCCAGCAAAAATACAGCGCCTACGACCGCGAGCTGCTGGCCATCTACGAGGCTGTCAAACATTTCCGGCATATGCTGGAAGCCCGACACTTCACCATCTTCACTGACCACAAGCCCATCACATACGCCTTCCAGCAGAAGCGGGATAAATGCTCACCCCGTCAGTTCAACCATCTAGACTTCGTCTCCCAGTTCACAACCGACATCCGGCACATTTCTGGACAAGACAACGTTGTCGCCGACGCCCTCTCCCGCGTCGAGTCCATCACCGCGCCACCACCATACGACGTATTCACCGCATCACAGGACAGCAACGACGAACTTCGAGCACTCCTGGGGTCAACCAACGCCCTGTGGCTCGAGAAACTAACAATCCCCAGTACGGCACTCTCTGCCTACTGGGAGATCTCGGCCGTACGTTCCAGCGCCTCTATGACTCCAAGTATTCCGGTCCGTCCACGATCTGTCACACCCAGGCACCAGAGCAACAGCAAAGCTGGTCGCACAGCGATTCGTGTGGCCAGGCATACAGAAGGATTGTCGCACCTGGGCACGAGCTTGCCAGTCCTGCCAACGCTCCAAAGTCTCCCGCCACACAGTCACTCCACTGGGCGACTTTACACTGCCGACAGCCCGCTTTCTGCACGTCCATATCGACCTTGTGAGACCCCTTCCGACGTCAGCGGGCTACACATACTGCCTCACTGCAGTCGACCGTTTCACCCGCTGGCCAGAAGTCGTCCCCATTCCGGACATTACAGCCGACACAGTGGCAAGCGCCCTACTGACTGGCTGGATATCACGCTTCAGTTGCCCCGACCAGGGACGCCAGTTCGAATCACAACTCTTCACATCCCTGGCCAGGCTGTGCGGCATCCAGCTTTCACGTACAATCTCCCACCACCCAGCAGCTAACGGACTCGTGGAACGCTTCCACCGGACGCTGAAGGCAGCCATCATGTGCCACGCGGACCAACGGTGGACTGAGGCGCTTCCCCTGGTTCTCCTCAGAATCCGCACTGCTTTCAAGGAGGACCTACAAGCATCGGTAGCTGAGTTCGTGTACGGTGAGACACTCAGAGTGCCCGGCAAGCTGCTAACACCGACCACCGAACCAGCGGACCCAGCGCAGTTAATCACCGAACTACGGCAGCATATGGCTCAACTCAGACCGATTCCGGCATCACGGCACACCTGCCCGGCTACGTTCGTGCACAGAGACCTCGGTAATTGCACTCACGTCTTCCTCCGGCAGGACGCAGCCCGTAGGGCATTGGAGCCCCCCTACCGCGGCCCTTACCAGGTCCTAACGTGGAGAGACAAGACGATGCAAATTCTTGTGCGCGACAGGCCCGTCACTGTGTCAACTTATCGGGTCAAGCCTGCCTACATGCTGAACGAGTCCAGCCACGGAACCCACACGACTTTCAACCCGACAACCGCAGCAGCACCGGCCTCACCTGCCACACCTCCACAACTCGCCGCAAAATCTACAAGCTGCGGACGTCAAATCCGCCTCCCTGCTCGCTTCAACAGCTGAGCAGACATCTCCGCGCGGGGGGGGGGTTGATGTGGGAGCATCCCCACAGCGTCTAGCAGACAACCTTCGCCCCTTGCAGAAAGTGCCAAACAGGCAGCTGTGACCAAAGGGACACGGAATTTATACCATTTCCAACTGCTACGACTTATATAGCAGCTACATACATTTATAAACTTCACCGTGGCCCCGCCTTTCGTGCACGGCCCAATGGATGCGCGCCGTGACAACTGCAACTTTAGCTCCGCCTCCCGACCGGCAGTATTTAAGACCGGGAGCCAACAGTGCAATCAGTTCAACTCGAAACGGCAACGCAGTCAGAGGCATCAACTCCACTTCTGCTACCGGGCAACTGACATAGTTGCCGCGAGCCTTCAGCGAACGCATCTCCCGCAACCCAGCAACCGGCCGAGCCAGTCGATCCTACCGGCACGCTCAGCACTACATCACCGCCCAGACAGGCCAGCCAACGCTTGAATATTATACGTGTATTCTGTATATTGACTTTAAACGATTCAATATATACAATTGTACAGTTTCGTGTGGTTTGTCTATTGGAGTATTGACGACAATCCCACAATACCATGGCACCATTCACCTTCAGCAAGGATTCAATCAGTTTTATTTCTAAACTATGCAATGTTCACATTTACATAAAAGATGGAATCTTAGGTTATGTAATAAGCTTACCTTTAATCATCAGAGGTACATTTAAGGTGTTTCAATTGATACCACTGCCAGTAGGTATAGAGAAAAATAGGTTTGTTTACCTTGAAACAGGTAATGAACTATTGTATGTTGATCAAATAAGACAATTTTATTTTGCCACAAGCCGAGAGGAATTAAGATGCTGTAAATCAGCAGAACCAAATGCATACATATGTAAGCAAAGTCAACCCTTATTGAACAGTCACATGCAGGAATCATGTGAAATAAAACTGTCGCAACCACGGCTAAATATTCCAAAAATTTGTGATACAAGGGTAGTACAAATCATACATACGGTTTGGACCCAGTTAGAGAAAAACAATGAATGGATTTATTTCATACCATCTAGTGATGACATTACGATTGTATGTCCAGAAAAGGAACCTGTAAACATAGTGCTTACACTGGTAAGTTGAGTATTCAACCGGGATGTAAGGGATATGGTAAAACAGCCCTGTTGACTACCCAAAACACTATTCAAGTAAATACCTCGAAACACAGAGGAGCTTTGTTATCCAAAGTGGAATCTCAATTTGAATGTTGTGAACAGTTCGGTACATCAAATAACATGAGTCATATTGAATTAGATATGAAGTTGAAACATGTGGTAACGCACATGGAAGACCTTAAATTTGCTAGTTATAAGATCTCCAAGTTGGAGAACCTTGCAAAAGAAAAAGAATGGAAATGGAAACATATCCAGTACCACAAAACTTATTCAGTGCTAATGTACATTGTGATCACTGTAGTAATATTGTACGGTTTATATAGACTTGTGAAATTTGTTGTAACCCGTTGGAAGAGAAGCAAAATACTAAGGGCAATAGCCGCAAAAACGGAATGTTTAACCCTTCCTGCGGAAGCCAGTGGAACTGGAAATGTTATCAATATCAATATTAAAACCAGTAATGAGAGTTTGTCACGAAGTTCGGAAGCGATACCATTGAGGGACATTGATGAAGAATCAAGGAGGGAGAGCAATCCAGACCTCCGGAGATCCAAACGGGGGAAAACAAATAAATCGTACTTTTAAAGGCACAATTAAGGTGTTAATTGAGCCTCATTTTAAGGGGGGAGGTGTTGTATAAGGTATGGTGATGCTTACTATAAACTGTTGTATATGTTAATAACGATGTGGTATATGGGGATAAATAGTATGTAATGAATTGTTTTATACAGTAATTGATATAATATGTTACAGTCAACTCTCGATTATCCTGGGGCGGATTAACCGGTTTGCGGCTTAACCGGGGCTTTTTTTTTTTAAGTTTATATGTTGTTTAATATTCATTCACTTTTGTTTCACATGGTGAGTTTAACACTATTTTCGCACTAGTGTGAACCGAGCTCTGCATTATTTCGTCCCGTTATGCGAACACAATGTTCTAGGGTGGGGGTGAAAGAATGCAAGAATTTTTGGAAAGTTTCAAGGACAAATACACCGCCCCAGGTTATTTAACGGTACCATCTCAGTGTGAGAGTGCATTGTGAAAGTAAGTATCAGTTTCTTAATATAGATCTTCAAGTGCGTTAGCAAAATGTCGGGGTTTAAAAGGAAGCGTGTTGTGTTAAGTATTCAACAGAAACTTGAAATTATCAATCAGCTGGAAAAAGGAGCTGTAGTTAAACAATTAGCAATGCAATACGGTATTGGAGAACAAACTGTTCGTGATTTGAAAAAACAAAAGAATGAGTTAATTTCCTTTGCTTCGTCTTCTAATTCAAGCGGAATGAAGAAGAGAAAAACCATGAAGAAATCAACATACGATGATCTCGACAAAGCGATGCTGACCTGGTTTAATCAACTAAGGGCACAGGGAACAACAATAACAGGACCAGTTTGTGCTAAACAAGCTAAATATTTTTTCGAAGCACTTGAACTAGAAGGGAGTTTTGACGCTTCTTCCGGTTGGCTAACACGTTTCAAGCAGCGTCATGGAATACGAGAAATCAGTATTCAAGGTGAGAAATTGTCAGGGGACTTGTCAGCATCAGATCAATTTTGCACCAATTTTGATAGTTTTGTGAAAAGTGAAAATCTGCTGCCAGAACAAATCTATAATGCCGATGAAACGGGTCTTTATTGGAAATGCTTGCCAACCAGAACATTGGCATTTCAAAATGAAAGACAGGCTCCAGGTCACAAATCCAGTAAGGAGAGATTGACAGTCTTGTGCTGTTCTAATGCATCAGGAACACACAAACTAATACCAGTAGTTATCGGCAAAGCGAAAAGACCACGCTCTTTTAAAGGAACAGTAGCTTCAAGTCTGCCTATCCATTATTTTAACCAGAAAGTAGCTTGGATGAATAGAGCGATATTTAAAGAATGGTTTGATTTTAAATTCGTGCCTCAAGTTCGTGACCATCTAAAATCCCAAGGCCTACCTGAGAAAGCTGTGCTCCTCATTGACAATGCGCCCTCACATCCTAACGAAAGTCTCCTGAGGTCAGATGATGGAAATATTTTTGTGAAATATTTTCCCGCTAATGTTACCGCACTTATCCAACCAATGGATCAAGGAGTTATCTCAAGTATGAAGAGAATCTACAGATCAAATTTGCTACAAAAGTACATCGATGAAGGCAATGATCTGACGTGTTTCTGGAAGTCCTTTTCAGTATTAGATGCCATATACGAGATTTCAACAGCGTGGGATACAGTAAAGCCATCTGTATTGAAAAATTCATGGAAGAAACTGATGCCTTTCATCACTAATGAAGATGACGAAATCCATGGATTCACTGGATTCAGTGAAAATGAGATAGCCATAAAATTGACAAAAGTGGCTAACCAAGTTCATGGTGGTGAAGAAGTCAACGAGGAAAATATAAGAGAGTGGTTTAACTGTGACTCGTGTGAACCGGGCTTCGAAATGTTAAGCAGTGACGAAATCGTAACTTCAATGGGGGTGCAGCCAGAAGAGCGGGAAGAAAGTGAGAATGAGGAAGAGGTGGACAGTGTTGCCAGTAAGAAAGTATCACATGGTGCTGCGCTTAATCATTTGGAATCCTTACTAGACTATCTTGAGAGTGAAGAGGACAGTTTATTAAGTGACAAGCTAATATTACGTAGGCTTCGTACGGATATCCGTAAAAAGGAAAATGCCGCGAAAAAGCAAAAGACAGTATTAAATTATTTTAAGTGTTAAGTGTGACCGTAAAAAGTGCTGGATGTTGTTGAACAGTGATTGAAATAACTAATTCATACTGAGTGTAATGTAAAGAAAGTATTAAATAGGCCATGAGATGACATAGAAATGAGGATGAATAAATTTAAATACAGGTAGGTCTATAGTATTATGAAGGTATTAAAAGGTAAAAGGTAAAGTTGTTCCTCTGCTCAACGAATTAAGCCCTACGCCATTAAGGCGTGTGGGGGAGTGGATGTATAGATCCAAATTTTCTTGACCTCGGCACTAGTTGGAGGTGAGTGGTCAGCTTCACGCCCCGGCCGCTTTACCCCCGGGGAAAGAGCCCCCGGTACCCATTGGATAGGAGGTTGGATGGACCCCAGAGCCGGTCTGGACGATTTGGAGAAGTTAAAATTCTTGACCCTACCGGGACTCGAACTCCGACCCTTCACAGTCGTCCAGCCCGTATAATAAAATTTGGCTTAACCGGGTTTTCGATTAACCGTGACTTCCATCCCCACCATTAGCCCGGATAATCGAGAGTTGACTGTATATGGTATATTGTAATATGGGGAAAAGACTGTACCTTATGGATACATAGTATGATGAACAATTGTACCAACAGGAAGTATCAAGAGATTAACTTCAGGAAGGATCAAAAGATTAGAGCTTTGTCATTCACCTGTGCTGTCACAAGAAAGATGCTTGTTCTTTTACTAAGAACAAGACAGCTGTGGACCCTCCAAAAACTCACGAGGGTGATGCAATGAATGACGCTAGTCGGATTACTCCAGAAGGGTAACACCCTAACTGGACCAGATATATATATACCACACGGGGCATAAGCAAAGACACTTTTTTGATATCGACGCTGCCTGAGAGCAGGATCTGTCTGATACCAGGAGTCAGCTGCTGCCCTTGCTCAGGCAGACCACTGATTTTGTTACAAACAGGGTTTTCTCTATAACTGTGTACATTATCAATAAATGTATTAGTTAATTTCAAGTTGCAGTACTCTCACACCCCACACTGACTCCCAAGGGAACCGCTCGCCCTGCCAACCTGCAATCTGTCCCATCACCGGGATACAACATGCAACTGAGCTATTTGTTTAAGCAACTGCAATCGTTCCTCATACTGCGATGACCTTTTCCTCTTTTTCTGGTGGCTGTGTGTTGTCCAAATTTTGTCTCCTTTCATTACGAATGTTCTCCGTCTCACCTTCCTCCAAGAGTTCCTCATGTTGGGTGATGTCGCTTTCTTCGTTGTTAACCTGTGTATCCTCCTCCGTAGCCAGTCTTGTTGGTATTTATGTCCTTACTATTCTCATCTCCAACAACATTGGTAACAGTGCTGAAATTTAAAATAACATATTATAATACCATTAGTAAGATACTTACAAACAGTGACCCAATATGCACCTGTTCAACGGGAAAGGTATCTTTTTTCCAACTTTCCAAAACAAATGTTACAAGGGGAAAAAAATTAATTTTACTCGGCTACAAAGGAGACGGGTTATATATTTAACGGTCCATGTATGTATGTTCCTTCTGCTACCTTCTTTTTGATGAACTGAAGCCATCTAAGAATGACAGAACAGACCTCTTCTTTGCTGCCTCACCACTGGAACCAGTGTCAGGTTTTCCTCGCCATCTAATATAATAATCCCTTATGAAGGCCCACTTCTTGCTGCAGTTAACATCTGCAATAAATAATTTTGTAAATTAAAACATTTCTTATAACTTCTTTTTTTTCTTTCAGGTACTTGGCCACAGGAGAGTCATTCAGATCACTTTCTTTCAAATTTCGAAAATGCCATTCTTGGATAAGTGTCATAATAAAACAAGTTGCTGACAGCATCACAAAAACTATGTTCAAGTTAATAATGTCATCACCAACAGAGGAACAACTACGAAGAATTGCTAATACATATTTGTCAACATGGAATTTTCCGAACTGTGTGGGAGTGATAGACGGGAAACATATAAGGATAAGAGCTCCCAAAAACAGTGGATTGACATTCTTTAACTACAAGGAGTTTTATTCAATTGTTATACTAGCAGTTGTTGATGCGGAATGCATATTTGTTGCAATAGACGTCAGTTCTTATGGCAGAGAAGGAGACCCAGGTATCTACTTAAAAAGCAAAGTAGGACAAAACATCTGGAACAATACACTTAATATACCCATACCAAAAGCATTGCCTGGAACAGATAATGTTGTACCACATGTGATTGCTGGAGACGAAGCTTTTGCTTTACACGAAAATTTGATAAAACCCTATCCAAGAAAGTAAACTTTGAGTGATCCATCAGAAGCTGTATATAACTATCGTGTATCTCGAGCTACAAGAACGACTGAAAATGCTTTCGGAATTTTATGTGCTTATTTTCGAATATTTTTCCAGGCGATCGCTGCTGTCCCAGAAACTACCGACAAGTTGATTACATGTGCCTGTATTTTACATAATATGTTACGGGAAGCAAAAGTACTCTCTCCAAATCAAGTGCATTTTGATGATGCACTTCCATTGCCTACAGAAAATATATTCCCTCTAGCAGCAAATAACATCCGTTCACGAAAGTCGTCCACGCAAATCCGAGAAATATTCAAAACCTATTTCACTGATCCAGGTGCCGTTGAGTGGCAGAATAATTATGCAAAACATTACTAAGAAACCTAATTTTTATCCATTGTAAACAAGGTAGTTATTTTAGAAACATGTAGACTAAAATGTTTCAACATAAAATATATTTATATATCATACCTGTTTTATTAAGTGTACCGCCGATTTCACACCACAGATTTTGCTTCAGCTGGGCTTGTCTGTAGTTTTTGTTCTTCACATTATGCAACATTTACTCCAGCACATCATGTTTTGAGTCACTGTAAACAAAAAGCTCACCGAAAATGCCTCAGTACCTCAGTACCGTACATAAATGTTGCGAACTCTTTGTCGCCGAACTCACCGCCGCTTACCGCCGTCACATAAATGGCGGCACCGCTATTTTACGTGGCAATGGTGGTCAACGCTTTCTAGTTCTTCTAGTTAACCATGTTCCTTTGTTTCTTTGGCAACGTTTTAGTGACGTCATTCACCGTCATATAACGGCCGCTTGCTACCCGAGGAAACCAAAGCGTAGCAATAAGAGTTTTTTGGTTTCTGTTGGTTAGCTTGTCTCAGCTCATCAGAACGATCAGAACCACTGAAATTGCTGTATCCGTTGCTTCTGCTATTGTGTGGCTGATGATGTGCAGGTTTATTATTATGCATGTAGATAGGCAAACAATATAAAGAACCGATCAAGAACGAACAAGAAGAAATCAAGAAAAGGTAGTGAACGAAACATTTTAGGTGTGTGTTACTAATACCTCAAAGTCTGTGCCTTGCATGAAGTTTGGCCAACGTTCGTATTGTACCATAGCATCATTTATTATATTGGGGTTTCTGTTTGGGAAGCTGAGAACTAATAACGGTATTTAAATGTCAATAACGAAAGTATCAACATTTTTAAAACGCATTTGGGCCCATATTGATGTTATAGGTATATATAATCTCTTATGCTTCGCTGCCAAGGTGTACACAGTCTTACTGCGTTGCCGGAATTGTATCTAAAACGTTAGATTTTGGTATTGAAATTTTGCCAGCGGGTAGTGTTCTAGGACTGGAGTTCCACAGAATTGAAAATATAAATACTTATTGCTTCTTTAATTACGTATCACAATTTGCTCTTGGGCATGCATTTCCCTTTATGCAGTAAAATTATGTGACAAAGCCACAGTATGCATATCGCAGAAAGTGCAATTTTCAACCCAACGTCCGATTTCAGTGAAAGCTGGTGAGCGTATAGACTCCAGAGAATATAGTATTGCAAAATTTGTGCACCATGTGTCATGCAGTTTTTGTGGGGCAGTGGTGTGAAAACAACAATAAATGTTTAATTCTTATTTGATGTGCTGTCTCCACTACAGATTATCGTAACTTTTGTTCTGTGTAACTTGCAGAGCTCACATGGAACTTGTTTACAAGTTAATGAAGTGTCCTTTTCAAAATCTGTCATACTTATTTTAAAAGAAACATAAATGAATATCATATAGCTGATTTTCAATTAAATCTAACCCAGGAAACATGGGAGATGGTTTTCGATGAAAATGATGTTAATAATGCTTTTAACATTTTTTAAAATATATTCTTAAGAAACTATTATTCTAGTTTTCCCCTGATACAAACAAAAAACAAATTAATCTAAACTCTTGGATCACACCATGAAGAATAATTTCTTGTAAACATAAAAGATTTATATATACAATTACAGAATAAGAATAATACCATCGCTATAGCCCATTACAAAAAGTATTTTAAGTTATTGAAGGCAGTTATAAAAAAAGCAAAACGAATGGAATATGACAAATTAATTCTAAATTCCCATAATAAAATCAAAACTACATGGAATATTATTAATACAGAATCTGGAAGAAATAAAAATAGAAATGATATACAAGTTTTAAACGTAGAAGGTAAGAAAATCAATGATCAACAATCTTTTGCTGAAACTTTTAACGAGTGTTCATTCATTCATTTATAAAATCCTTACATGGTTGAATAACCAATAGATATAGAAATTGTCTAGAAATATAAACTCATTTTGCTTAAAAATCAAGCATTTGTCAAAATAACAAGTTTATAGTATACAAGATTGAAGTCACATCTAAAAATTTATCTTGAAAATAATAAGTAAGATATAAGTAAGTATTTCGTCACTATCGCTGGAAAAATTAGAAGAGAAATTAGAAATACTTGTAGGCACATTAATAATAATAATGTGGACAATCATATTCATTTCTTAATTTCATGCATCCTTCTGTGCTACAATATACAACTCTTTAATGAACTGTCACAACACAGCAAATAGTAAAACATCAAAGTCAGCGTTCAGCTGTGGCTTTGCTACATGTTTCGGCCACTATTGGCCATCATCAGGCAAATAGATATCAACAAAAATCTACCATTTAACTGCAATCATAAAATGGATATAACACTATTAATCGTAGAAATTTAAAAATGCTTATGTAAAAAATACAAAAGTTCAGATTATATAAAAATTAAAAATTGAAAGTATTATAGCAAGATAAAATATTAATGATGTTTTCAAAAACATTGAATAAGTCGTTGGATATACTTTGTGCGTGTTTCCATAGACAATAGGGAAATTCGATATTACTTTATATAGAAGATTGTAAGAGAGGCTCATGGTGTAGCAGTTAATGAATTGTGTAATGCTGCCTCGTCATTAAGAAGAATTGTCTGTATTGCATGGGAAGCAAACAATTGGACCATGATATGAAAGTGGTGATGTCATCAGCAATAAAGGTGGTGTTTCTCCTACAATACAGATGTTACTAACATGAGCAGACATGATTTTAATATTGTCATTCATACTGTAAGCATGATATAGTTAGTTTCTGTTGTGCTTTATCTTTTCAGTGAACTGTGTTTTGGCAGATGTTAACACACATTATATGTTCACCCATTGCTAGGCAGCATGTTGGTAAACAAATTCCTGTGAAAAGAGATTCTTGGTAAACAATCTGTTGCTAGGTTACACAGCAATAGATGAAGCTGTGTTTTCTATGTGGTCTGCGCCAAGCAACAGTAGAATAATGGGGTTATGCAGTCTGTTTCTACGCTATGGCTGGGTAAACACATTTCTGCATGTCGGACCATGATATGAAAGTGGTGATGTCATCAGCAATAAAGGTGTTGTTTTCCATGGGGTCTATGCAGAGTGCTTATAAGAAAAGTGAATGCAATGACAGAATTAGTTCAAAGGGCAGTTATGAGTCAGTCGTAAGCTGGAGGAGTGAATCTAGAAGAATTTTTAGTTCCAAGGTTCCAGAGTGATTGAAGATGAAATAGCAAGAAGACTTCATAGTGATTTGAAATGCTAATTTCTGTGTTGAGATTTGTTGCTAGCAGATGACTAGCGGAAACTGAGTATTCTAGTGCATGTGGAACGGTTAACTGGAAAGTGTGTAAATCAGTGATAGTGCTATATTTAAGTGTGATTAAGAGAAATTGTAATCAAGGTGCTAATAAATCCAATCATCCAAACTAGAACCCGTTATTTTCATCACAAGTACCACCCAGCACTTGACATTTTGGTGTCAGAAGTAGCTGCTTCGGATCGATCGAATTATTGGATTGAAGGGTAGATTGCATAATTACAGCATTGTCATATGAAAATGGAAATGCAAAATATGAAAGAATGACTCTTGGCCAACCAAGAACAAATGATGGGCAATAGAAAAGCCAACAAATAAATGATGACCGACAGAAAAGCCAACTGAGAGAATGTGTGGCAAATGATGACCAGGATGGAAGCCACCCAAAACAAGTTAGACACTGACGAGGCAAAGATGGACACTGCAATTAAAGCCATCAAAGGAAGAATGAAAGCAATTGTAGACTAGTTTTTTTTTTTTTTTTGCTAGTGGGGTGGGACTTAAGTGCCTTGTACTGCGGCCACTTCTGGCCTATTGTACCAGCCCTGGATGGTAGGCGAGGGTGATTGTGGAGCAATTGATGGAATGGAGATTGGCAGGGGAAACCGAAGTACTCGGAGAAATCCTGACCCCAGCGCCACTTTGTTCACCACAAATCCAACTTGACCAGACCCAGGATCAAACCCGGGCCACCACAGTGGGAAGCCAGCAACTAACTGCTTGAGCTATGGCGCGGTCCTTCCAGGCAAGTGTGAAGCCCATTAAGAAAAGACAGAGACCGGTGTGAAACCATGGGAAACTGAAAACAAGACTGATTTGGAAGAAACGAAGGCCATGAATTTGAATGTCAGTCCACGGAAGATGGAGTCTGGAACAGAACATCAGAAGGTCCTGAAGGAAGAAGATGGGGCAAAACCTGCAGGAACAATAAGGAAGCAGCACAAGAGTCGACGTCTAGCTGCAGGGTGACATGGAGAGCCAAAGGTACTGACCTGAGGATTTTGTGGATCCTCGAGGAAGTTGGTTGCCACCTGAGGGAGGTGTCCCATCATGCAATAGTGGCACGGCACAAAGGAAATGTCTTCAGGGAAATTCGGACCTGGAGAAATTGGAGATCCTGGAGTAAATTGGCCACCACCAGAATGAGGATGACCCACAGTGCAAAAGTAGCATGAGACTGGGAACACAGGCTTCAGAGACAAGGAGGAGATGATATTGCACCGAGAAACCCGAAGGAATGGACATCCAGGATGAAATGCTGGATGGGCCAAGAATGCAAAATTGGAATAAAGGACCCATGCACAAGACAGCAGCTGCATCTCGAGATCGAGGGGACATCTGAGGAGTCTGACAGGAAGGCTTTCGGATTGGAGTTGGTGAAGAGAGCAACCAGGATGTTCAGTGGGTTGTGGAAGGTGAGAGACTGGGTAGTGTTGAAGGATCGGCACCCTCCTGAGTGAGAAGACAAGTGTTGGACATTGTGGAGGGGTTGACACCCTCTGAAATGGAAGAAGAACCAACTAACATTTCTAGCAGTGTTAGTGTAAGAGGAGCCGGAAATGTGTGAGCACTGGCCACTTGGGATAATTTTGCCCTGCCGTTTGGAAAAAAAAAAATTGGATGATGGTGAGAACCTGGACTAACTGGAACCTTATAAGAGAACCACTCTGGATCAGCTGGCCTCAAGGAGGGAGCAGTGGTAGGAGTTATAGAGCAGCGACCGCAGTGAGAGAAATAAAAAGAACAACTTGCAGGAAGACAATGAAAGCACAACCCCCCAGAAAGGAAGGAAAGGTGGTACACTGTTAGGCTATTCGGGACAAACAGCCTTAAGGAGAGAGCAATGTTACATTTAAACCCATTGCTAGGCAACATGGTGGTAAACAAGTTCCTATGAAGACAGATTCTTGGTAGACAGTCCATTGCTAGGTTATGCAACGATAGATGAGGCTGTGTTTTCTATGCGGTTTGCACCAAGCAACAGTAGAATAACGGGGTTATGCAATCTGTGTCTAAGCAGTGGCTGGGTAAACAGATTTCTGTATTTCAGACCATGCAATGAAAGTTGTGATGTCGTCAACAATAGAGACGGTGTTTTCTGTGGGGTCTGTGCAGAGTGCTTATAGGAGAAGTGAATGCAGTGACTGAATCAGAGGTATGGTCGAAAACATCCACCGTGACCCTGCGAGTTGTAGGAGGCGACGAAAAGGGAGTCTCAAATCTGAGACAGTAAAATATGGTCATGAGTCCCAAGGGACTCAGACCCAAGAAAGACTGAGCTGGCAAAGGCCAGCAGCATATACAAAAGACAGACCCATCCTCTCATCAGAGAGGACAGCCCACAACAACAAGACCGTAACTGTGAAACGGTAATAAATATCTGGTCATATGAGCCCCATCTGGTGCTCGACACCAAGACTTACTGACTGACAGACTGACTGACCGTCAGTCGCAGTGTGACTTTGAATTTTGACTGAATCACTTCAAAGGGCAGTTACGAGTCAGTCGTAAGAAAGAGGAGTAAGTCCAGAAGAATTTTTAGTTCCAAGGTTCCAGAGTGATTGAAGATGAAATAAGCAAGATGACTTCATAGTGATTTTAAGTGCTAATTTCTGTGTTGAGATTTGTTGCTAGGAGATGACTAGTGGAAACAGATTCCTAGTGCATGTGGAATGGTGAACTAGAAAGAGTGTAAATCAGTGATAGTGCTGTATTTAAGTGTGATTAAGAGAACTCGTAACCAAAGTGCTAATAAATCCAATCATACAAACCAGAACCCGTAATTTTCGTCATGCATACCACCCTACATGTGACAATATGTTCAGCTCTTTCATTAAATCTTCTGACAAGGGAATGCTCATTGTGTTTTGGTGTTGAGGTTATGCATGGGGTGGTGATGGATCATGGAGGACACTGATCATCACTTCCATTGGGTTTTAACTTACTGTTGTAATGCATCTTAACCACCAAACATTGTCATACATTCATGTTGCAAAACCTTTCATGTCATCAAGTGTTAGTTTTGCTGCAGCTTAGTTACACATCATTCGTTAGACTGCTAAGGTGGGAAGTTTATTCACAAATAATGTACATTTTCTTGAGAGAAAACATGAAGCTCAGATCTGTGTATGGAGTTAACTCTTAAATATTTCAAAATAAGATTTTCCTTTTTTATGAATTCTGCTTCAGTAGTAACTAAAAGTTATGTTTAATATGGTGGTTTGTGCCCCGTTTAACATTTGTCCTGGAGTAATGATTTGATCAGTGTAGTGTCACTTCAGGTTCACCTTTGCTGCCAATCTCTGTATGGTTCCCCTGAGGCATCATATGCCCTCTTGCCACATGAAGTGACAAAGAAATGCCATTCAACTGGAACCCCAAAATTATATTCATGTTATGTGACTGGAACCCCAAAATTATATTCATGTTATGTGATCTTTGTTAAATTTTTCCTGTTCTTACATTGCGTTGTTGACCCATATGAGAATTAAACTGTCTTTTTCAGACACACAAGTTTGTTCTGAAGAAAATTAATTGTTTGTGAAAGAAATGAACAACATTAGAGCCATGTGTAAAAGTATCAGAAATTATTAAGCTGCTGTGTGACACTTCATCTACAGATAATTTTCAGAAATAAATATCATGGGCTGAAGTGATGCTTGGTTCTTGGTCATTATTCCAATTAAATACCTATGCCTTACCTTGTAATATGAAAGCATAGTTTTCACCAAAATCATACAGCACAATGATTACACCCATTTGTAAGTCAGATTTTAATTCATTCAAATACATTGCATGCTGAACAGCAGCAAAGGAATTTGGCATCCAATTTGAGCATAATGTTGTTTAAAAATGGAATATCTGTCATTTTGGAGAAACCCATTCTTTCCATCTGCATGATAGATAGAATCTATAGGCTCCTTTGAAACACTGGAAGCTTCTGGTTTGCAACACCGTGTATGTTTCAGAATAGTGAAAACCAGAAGGTCACTGCTTATATCACCACGAAGGCCTAAAGTTATACAGAATAAAATGGAATGTATGTAAAGTGACAGAAGGGTTGCAGTCATGTAATAAGATGACATGTTACTAGGCTGTGTAAATACTGGTATGTAACCTTTCCTTGAAAGATTTAAAGAAGAAATGTTATTTTTCGTCACATACCGTATGAGAAGAAACGTTTTCCATAATGCCAATAAATGTCCAAAGATCCAACTCCAGTAATGGAAAGTATGTGGAAGAAACTGGAAAGTGACTTCACAGGGAACACAGTTTCACACAATTTTTTGGATAAACGATAAAGATATAACTTCCATAATAATTCTTAATATAGTTACAGAGTCACAATGTCCGCACCAAGCTTGGCACGGATAACGAGAAATGTTAAGAAGTTGGAGAAACCCCGTCCCCTAAAGATTTCAGGAAACCATAATCGCCTTTCTACCATTGATGGCAGATTAAATTCAGGTGAGTGGGGAAAAACTTTCATCTCTTAGACAAAGTGTATTAAACAATACTATTAATATAAAGTAAATGATATAGCATGCAACATTTATCATATAAAAGATAGGGTGGTTTAGAACAGGCTTTTTGTCATATGCAGTCCTCTTGATGCTTTTTGATGGCACTTGAGCAGGTGATCATACCAAGAGGCTTTGTGCATCAAGTATATGTTGTACAAATTTAGAGTTTGATATGTTTCATTCTTACTGCCTGGATATTCTCAAACTTATGCTTGTGTGTCCTATGTATTTCAGTTGACAGTCACTGCATTTTATTTGGTAGATTCCGTTTATATTAAGGATATCAGTATTGAGGATTTTTGTTTTCAGATGATGTCCTGTTGTGTTTGTTGTTTTGAGAGTACTAAATGGTTTCAATATCACCTTTTCTCAGTTGATATCTTAAAGACCTTAACATACAACTTCAAGGAAAAAGCAAACAAGTTATCTCTTTATGTGTCAGTATGAAACACCTTTCAGACAAAACCTCACTTCTGGGAAATTCAGATTACCAGTAATTTGTTGCATTTGTGTGAGTGAAGTCTAAAGTTCAGTGACCTTGAACAGAATATGTATAAGAAGTGAATTTGATGTTGGGTTTCAAGAATTTAAACCGTGAAGCACGATCTGTCATGTTCATCACATCATTAATATTTTATGTCAAAAGGCAGGTGAAAGATTAGGAATGGAATGCACTGAAATGCAATAGGACACGATTTTAGAGCATAAGTTTAGTGAGGTTGGCATGCCCAATTTTTATTCTGATGTGGATTCATTCCTAGAACTTATTCAGTTCACATGGTGAAAATTTGTGATGTTTGGTGTACTTATGTGTATGAACTGTTTGTATCATGGAAAGAAATATGACTCCTGACAGATCAAAATTAACAGACACCCTTGTCCTCATTGATGACAGTAGTGTCAGCACACATACTGAGACCAAGCATCATGAATCTGAATACGTGTGGCAGAATAAATGAGGTAATTAAAAATGTTGTTGGTCTTTATGTTTTTGCATGTTAAGCTAGAAGTGATGCAGAAAGTTTTATTTATTTACTTGTTCTTCCCTTAGTAGATAATTCCTTCAGCATCTCAGATTATGTAGCTTCAAATGATAGGGTAATTAACAGATAAAGAATGGGAAATGTTGTGAAGGGAAACAGTTGTTTTCTTATATAAGGTACTGTCTTGGCATTTGCCTGGAAGGACTTAAGAAAATTATGAGAACTCTTTAATTGGGTTAGTCAGTCACTGGGCCAGGATGTAGACTGATACCTTTGCATTGTGAAATAGATGTAATGAGCACTCAGGTGTGTCATTCATTGTAAGAAATGGTAAAAGTGTTATAGTATATAAACATACAAAGGGGCCACAATTTAATTCTCGGAATTTCCCTCTGAAAGTAAAATTTGCTTTCCTGTTCATTACTGGCCACCATCACCTTCAAAACACTCTCCTTGAGAAGCTGTGCACTTTCTGAGATGGTGCCACTGCCAGAAACTGTCTTGAACATCATTTTCTGGAATACCTCACAGTAACATCACATTGCATTTGATGCCTGGAATATCAGCAAATCTTTGTCCCCTCAGGACATTTTTTAATTTTAGAAAGAGCCAAAAATCGAAGTGGCTAAGTCAGGTGAATAAGGTGGATGGCCAATTTTTGTAGTGGATTTTTTAGCCAGGAACTCACGAACTCTAAATGCATCATGCACAAGGGTGTTGTCATGGCAGAGAATCCACTTCTTAGGCCAGAATTCGGGCCTTTTTCTCTGAATAGATTCCTATAACTTTGTCAGCACTTCGAAATCACACTGTTGATTCACCACGTGTCCTTGTGTAATGAATTCATAGTTAACTATCCCCTTGTGATAGCAGCCTCCGTAGTCTAGGGGTAATGTTCCCACCTCATGACTCAAGGTACGCGGGTTCAAAAACCCGGCGGAGGTTGTGGAATTTTTAAGGGCGGAAAAATTCAGGGAACAAGTCCTCCGGGAGGGACTTTAAGCCGTGTGTCCCGTGTCATAGATTTACGGCACGTAAAAGAACCTCATGTCTCTAAGAGACCGCTGAGCTAAATTAGGCCCAACATTTCCCGCCCAAAGTAGTTTCCAATGCCTCCGGTAGATGGGGAAGTATAAGGTACCACTGCCAGAAGAGGGATGACCTCTCTGACAGAAAGGGACTAAAGTATTAGATACCACTGCCAAGTAGAGGGTAGAAACCTTGCTGGCAGAAAGGGACTAGGAACCCCTGCCAGAGGAGGGATGACCTCGCTGACAGAAAAGGGCTAATAGTGAGCACCAGTACTGGTAGGGGATGGAGACTGTAGAAATTAGAAGGGGGACGTACAATATACTATCAAAAAGTCGCGGTTCAGGGGGAAACCCACCCCATCAATACTGAATCACTGAATCCCCTTGTGATCGAAGAAACACACAAGCATGGTCTTGAACCATGAGAGAGACATGCATGCTTTTTCGGCCGAGTTGAATTCTGTGTTTTCTACTGCTTGCTCTGGTGTTTTGTTTCTGGGTCATATTGAAAACACCACGTTTCATGACCGGTAATGACCCTATTGAACATTCCTGCACTGTGTAAAAGATCAGATGTAATGTGAAGTCGATGTTGTTTCTTGTCATCTGTGAAGATTCGAGACACCATCTTTGCAGAAATTTTTCTCATTCCCAAATCATCTGTAATAATCTGTTGCACTGTTTCTCTTTTCATATTCAATCCTTCTGCTATTAGTCTCACACCTAATCTTCAATCTGAGTGCCCCAACGTTCGTACTCTGTCCACATTTGCATCTGTCCTCTGTGTTTTTGGCTGCCTACTTCTTGAGTCATCTTGCACATCTTCTCGCCCCTCTGTGAGATGCCTATGCCATTCAGAAACACTTGATTTCTTCATAGCGTGTTCACCATAAGCCACTGTTAATAGGCCAGATGTTTCATTGGCACTTTTACCAATGTTCACATGGAACTTGATGTTTGTCCCCCACTCCAGATTCTCATCACTTATTTTTCTGCCAAAAGTATATCTCTGGCACGTTCTACTTCCCCTGCTGCATGGGAACGAATGACTTACTTGATATGAGCTTGGAAAATACACAAACATCCTTGAGTACATGAGTTGCAACACCCCCATGACATGCTGCCACCATTCTGGGAATTTTCACACCTTATATGCTTTATCCCGCTCTAAGAAACCAAAATTAACGGCCGTCGGAATATGTTGCGCTGACCATGCGACACCTTCTATCTGCAAAAAGTTGGCACTAACTTCGCCAACAAGTGGTGGTCGGTATAGTTCTCTTGCGGACTAAAGGCCACGGAGTGTCTTTATATGCTTTATCAACTTCTGCTCCAATACTTACTCCTTGGTTCCATGGTCTCCAAGAATATTGACCTCCTTTGTAACAGATACCCAGTCTTCACTATTTAAACAGTTTTATTGGTCACCCTTGTTTGATCCTTAATCACATGTCCCAACCACTCCAACAATTTCCTTTTAATATTAGCAGATCAGGAATTTTGTATAATTCTTGGTTAGGTCTGATTATCTGAACCCTTTGCTCAGTTACAGCTTCAGTCTTGTTTCTCAGAATTTTCCTCTCCCACACATATAACAGAACTTATCCTTTTCAGTCATGGACTTTATTTGTGCTGGTATTCTACACGTTTTAGAGTCTTATCTTTGGTAGAGGTAAAGATTCCAGTCTATGAGCAGAAAAATGTACACACAGATCTGCCGAGAGATTGGACTCAGAATTCTCGAATAAGAGCCCAGTGTTGTATGTTGAGACCACCAGGTATCAAATTCGCTTAGATGTTTCATTGTTAATGCCCCATGTTTCACATCTGTGACTCTTTGAGAATTCAAATTGTCCAGTAAGCTTGAATCTCTGGCCAGTAATTTCATTTATGGCCAGGAAACGTCTTCGCTGAAAATAATTATGGAAATTCAGATTGTGTTTCACTGATGTGTATTGTTTGTAATTATTCATTTTTCTTGCAGTATGCAACTGTGTTATACAGGCTCTTTTTAACTAAACGAACTGTTCTGAGCAGAATTCAAAAAGCCATCTTTCTTGTCACATAGACTTCCAAGTCTACCAATCTTTTGAACTCATTTACCACATAAGTGAGGTAAATGTATAATGCAACTGCAAAAAAATATGATTGAATCTTAGTCAAGTCAGGATTTTCTTAATTGCTTGTAATTTAGACTGTATCAGGAATTGTTAATACTGTTGTTGTTGTTATCATCATCATATGACAGGCACCAGGTCTCCATGGCACTTACAGTTTATGTGATGACACAAAGAATTTTCTCACTGTTATATAACTGCCAGGGACCAGGATATGTCAGTTGGTACAGCAGATGCTGGATGCCCGGGGTTTGATTCTCGGCAGGAACAGGAGTGTTTTCTGTGCCTCATTGTGTACAGGCTTGTTCTGGGGCTCACCTAGATAGCTATACAGTGGATACCAAAGCCTCTTTCCCATGGGGTATGAAGCTGGTCCCTCCCTCTGTTTAGTTCCTGAGGTCAAGAATGGTTGAACTGTATCTCCACTCCCCCATACATTTTCATGGAGTGGTGCTTAATTAATTAAGCACAGGGACAGCTTTATTTACTTTTATATTGCTACCAACACATTCCCTGTCAGAGGTGAAGGACAGTGTATTTTTTTCTCCTTTTCCTTTATTCCTTTCATGTCTCCTATGTTGCTTTACCATTTCTTTTATTTGCCAATTCTGTCATCATTTCTCTCCTCCATCTTTCCCTCTCCTTCCTCACCCCAGTTCTTCATTTCCTCTATCCATTTATCTCCATTTCACTGTATTTCCTGCCCATTCTATTTGTCCAGTATTGTCATTCCTGTCCATATCCTACAAATGGTGTGTTCAGGTTTCCCTGAGTATGAAAGGAATTGCCTGTTTCGCTTTAAAAAAAACAAAATATTATGCCCAAGATATTTTGTCTCTTCTCTGGCTTCCAGATTTGGAAGTGGCTTCAAGATTTATCAGAAACTTTTACAGGCTTATCATTATCATGATCATCATTTTATTTTCATTTTGTGAGGAACTTATTATTGAAGTATAGATTTTGTGTATGTTAAACTTTCCAGACAAATCTTAACTTTTGCATCATTGCCATGTTTGTCGGCATTTCATTTATAATTAGTATGTAAGTTTATAACCTATCTCCCTATAAAATTTTTCTTCCAAAGCTTTTATATTTATATTAGTTATTGCTATCAGATTGAAAGCTAAAGATTCTCACTTGACTGTGTTGAGGTTTTACATTCTACAACTAATTATCTTAACAAAAGATGTATAACTTTCAAAGATCAGGAACCATACATCATTTCAGGACCCAAGAATAAGTGCTGCTTCCACTAAGTTTGTGTACCTGCTGTGCTGAATATTGATTGTAAGATATTGAAAGGTATAAGGTTAGAGTGGCCAGTCACGGTAGCCGAGCGGTCTAAGGCGTGCATTGTCTTCGCTCGCTTGGAAGCCGGGATCGTGGGTTCGAATCTCACTCAGGGCATAGATGTTTGTGTGCGTTTTTCTGTGTTTGTCTACAGGTAGAGGTCTTGTGATGAGCTAATCACTCGCCCAAGGAGTCCTACCGCATGTGTAAGATCTAGTAAACCAAAGTGAAACAGAGAGTTTCATGGAGGTAGGCCTAGGCCCAAATTGGGGCTGTAGCGCCACAGAAAAAAATAAGGTTAGAGTGGCCTCCAGTGACATAACATTCATGCTGAAAATCATGAGGATTATTCAGTTGGTTCAGAAGAAATTGGGGGGGCAGTGTAGACACTATTGAATACATAAATCTGTTTTATTTTCTTAAGTTAAGTAAAGTAGGGTAAGAATATAAACAAAAAGACTGAAATTATGTAGCTGAAAATGAGGCCATAATGTGAGTTTAAAGAAAGAACTTTTTCTTCTAACTTTAGTTTATTGAATTGTATTTTGTCAGAAACTTAATACATTCCCTGCCGAGTGATGTTTTGAGGTACAGAGGTACAGATCTGTGAACCAGCCATTTTTGCGTAAATGCTACCTGCATCATCCATAATGATTCTTAAGTCTGGGCTGCATAGAAGGAGGATGATTCCAGTAATTACAAGGACCAGGGTTAAAATGTGTTAAAATGTTTTTTTTTTCCATGTCACCTTACGTTTGAGTACTGAACCTTTTTTTTAAGGGAGTTCTTTTCATATAAATGCATTCTACATAAACTGACCAAGGACGTATGATGTGTCGTCATCATGAATTTGTGATGTGTGACATGTTTTATATCCAGTCCTACCGAGAGATGATTGGATCCATGAAGTGAAAATAAATGTAAATGTAATGTTAATAAATTAACAGTACTCACAACGTAAATTGTTTATATGTTTACCTTCCCACATTTGGATTTTTTCCTTGATATTGTTGAGTAATGATAGAAATATTCACTGAAACTTGTAAAAAGTGGACATGGCTTCTAGATCTGGTATTTATTATACAGATATTGGTGTAAATATGTGGCTTTCTTACAGTGGAGGACATTATGGCCCTAGCTGATACTGTCTCAATGCATTTGGCAAATGCAAATTTTGATCAGCTGTTGCGAGTAAACATTATATCAATTTGTAATAACTTGAAACTGTTTGGACAGCAGCTGGAAACAGTTTATAAAGGTATGGTTAATATTCTTAGTAAGTTAAATGATTCACACTCTGAGTAAGATGTTGCTGCTAGCTGCAGTAAAATGAGTGTATATTTTTCCTTTGACATCAGATCAACTGGATAGGATATTTGTGGCATTTCGTAATGGGTGCAGAGATGAGCGACTGGATTACTTGTCTAGAATCCATTTATTGGAGGCCATTGAACTTCGAGCTTCCAATTGGCAAGGGTGTGACAACCTCACTGCATACTACAAGGCAAAGAATACAGTGGAGGTAAATTTCTAATTATCATAATCAGCTGTGCATGATAAAGACTCAGTTTTAATTGTCTGCTCTTAAACTCAGTAGGTGTAGTTGGTCTTCCCACCTTTCCTCTGGACATTCAGGATTTGCAAAGGTTCAACTACTGCAAAGAGTTCTTTCTTCTGGAATATAACTTTGTGTTGTCCATTGAAGGTCAACCAAGGTTCTGGAAGAACATGTTGCCTCAGTTTGCAGAGTTGAAAAGTTACTGGCTCCATCACACTGGTTTCTTGCTTGTCTTACTTTTCAGCCCTGAAGATAGAGGTGACATGTTCCTTTGAAACTGCAGTTGACATTCAACAGACTACATGGAGCTATGTATGACTACTGCTGAAAGAAGACCCCAAATCCTACATTAAGATATTGTATATGTGCATTTGTGTTTTGTTCAACAAATTTGCAAATATAACTTTTAGCTTAAATCATATTTTGAAAAATGATCTAGTAGATCATCATGCTATATGTGTGTATGCACACACACACAACTTTTAAACAGAAAGTTTTATGTGAACCATGTACCACTGAAGGCTATTCCAGCTTTGTATGATTTAATTTTCTTCACTTAATAATATCATCTGGTAATGCACAATAGATCGCTGATGGCTGCAGTGCAAGGACTGGTCATGGCCTACCCCTTATTCGTTCATAATGATCTTGGTAGGCATATACGTAGGTCATACGTAAAGTCATGAGCAACTTCTTTTTGCATGCAACCTGGGAACAGCAGACAAAAGAGAGTACGGTGGTAGGTGGAACCAGCTGTTGTGTTAACCTTGAGTTTCTTGCGACGTCAGTAGCTTGCATCATGTGACCAGTATCACTCCTAACAGAATGGCCGAGAACCATATGTCGTTTCGCCAGCGTGCTGTCATCGAATTTCTTGTGAAAGAGGAAATCCCTGCTGCAGAAATTCACCAGAGACTTCAGCGTTCTTATGGAAGTGTGCATGGGTGCGAGCAGTGTTTGAAGATGGTTGAAACATTTTAACACTTTGCAGACCGGTGGCATATTTTTATGTCCACCGCTTTTGAACGTGGTGGACCGGTGTCATATTATTATGACTTTAGGACACGTTATGTTGAAACACACTATACCTTGCACTGGCGCCAGGCAGACCCATGACTGGTGCGTGATAGACCTCTTGAATGTTTGCTTCGTAGTCAGTAACATGACCCCGCTGTTTATGACCCACCTGTTTTCCTTTCTCACTCCAAAAGAAAATGCCTTTGTTCATCTTCCATCTGCATGCACCAGGCAGGAAGTTACTAGTACAAAATGGATCAAGGTCGGAAGAGGTTGAGGTCCAAGCATTTTCCCGGAGAACAAGAAATATCTGACGTCCCTTGTGAGTCTGCTAGTGATAGCGACTCACAATCCGATAGTGAGTGTGGCAGGGGCGAACAAAAAATTGTGGCCACAGACAGTGGAAGTGAAAGTGAAAGTAGCTCTGACGAAAGTGCGGGTAGCAACATAGCGGGGAGAGCCACATGGGGAAAGTAGACAAATCGCCTGCTTTGGGACAGTTTACTGGAAATCCAGGGGTGAAGCAAATTCCATAAGACCCAACACAAGTGTCTGAAGTAGCAGAACTGTTTTTTGGAGATAGGGATGCTCGTGTTGTGAATATGATTTCCACAATTTACGTTTCGATAATGGTTGATATTCAAAGGAGACATGGACAAGTAAAGAAGCCTATTTGTATTTCTGAGTATATTGGTGAAGTACCTGTTTATTTTCAACAGTTGCATACACAAGGGTTTTTAGGTGTCGCCACAGGTAAAAATCTGGTGGGTGTGAAGGCCATGCAGTGGTTCCTTCTCTACCTGTACATCAGTCATGATATGTGTTAGTAAGAAATCTTGCACAGCACAGCTAACATGTGCTGGAGCACCACCATGCATGTATTACACACATTCTTGTTCTGACTGCCAGTAGTGCATCTGGCAGTAGCTTTGGGGTCATTCCATGTGAAATCATCAAGAAAGGTCGCTCACCATTTTTAAAAAGGTTCAAAATTTGTACATTTATTTCTACATATTTTCACACCTCAAAAAAATGTTAAAAAAATTGTGATCCACTCGGTTCTCCCGGTACAGCCGTTTTTATAATACGAAAAAAGCACGTTTTCGGCTCAAATGGAGGTTTGCGTTATCTTCTGTATCTCGATAACTATTGAAGCTAGAGACTCCGATAAAAAACCAATTTGTTCCTCATGATATGGACAACAAATCATATCATTACAAGATTTTACTCAACTCACTTTCTCTAGGTGTAATTAAGCTTGAAACTTACCTATCGATTTTGGGAAAACGCTATTTTGACCTTCAAAAACCAATGGGAAGGGGAAAGTATCAGGTCTGTGGTTTCTGCCCTTTGTTTTCTCCTACATGAAGAATATAATCACATAGTTTTGAACACCGTACCTATTTTCTAAAATTTTCCAGGAGCTTCCAAACTTTGCTCTGGACCCCAAATCGGCCATTTTAACATCTCATATCTCCGGTGGAGAAGCTCCGAAAATTTTGAATTCATAGCAAATAGTGCACTATTCTAGAGCAACTTGAAGTTTAAATTACAACTTTTATATTCAACTACTAGCGAAGTTGTGGGCACTTTGAATTTTACCAAGAAAAACCAATACCTCAACAATTGGCTTACCTGCATCCAGTGGTATTAGTTCTTTGTGTACTCCGATGAATACACGTATCTTCCAGTTTGTTTGAAAGTACACGTAGTTCAGTAAGTGTCCACTATCACGAATTCTTCGAAATCATCAGACTTGGATGTTTTATAACACCTGACCGTGTTTTCCTCCAGATGGACGACCTAGAGAAAGTGAGTTGAGTAAAATCTTGTAATGATATGATTTGTTGTCCATATCATGAGGAACAAATTGGTTTTTCGCATTATAGAAAGTTCGCTATTGAATATCAAAGTTGTAATTTTAACTCCACGTTACTCTTGAATAGAGCATTATTTGCTATGAGTTTAAAACTTTTTGGAGCTTCCCCACTGGAGATATGAGACATTAAAAATGACCGATTTTGGGCCCAGAGCAAAGTTTGGAAGCTCCTGGAAAATTTTGGAAAATAGTTACGGTGTTCAAAACTATGTGATTATATTCTTCATGTAGGAGAAAACAAAGGGTAAAAACCACAGATCTGATACTTTCCCCTTCCCATTGGTTTTTGAAGGTCAAAATAGCGTTTTCCCAAAATCGATAGGTAAGTTTCAAGCTTAATTACACCTAGAGAAAGTGAGTTGAGTAAAATCTTGTAATGATATGATTTGTTGTCCATATCATGAGGAACAAATTGGTTTTTCATTGGAGTCTCTAGCTTCAATAGTTATCAAGATACAGATGATAACGCAAACCTCCATTTGAGCCGAAAACGCGTTTTTTTTGCATTATAAAAACGGCTGTACTGGGAGAACCGAGCAGATCACAATTTTTTAAGCTTTTTTTTTTTGAGGTGTGAAAATATGTAGAAATAAGTGTACAAATTTTGAATTTTTTTAAAAATGGTGAGCAACCTTTCTGGATGATTTCACATGGAATGACCCTTTGGAGGATCCTATAAAGGGAAGTGTTGGTAGTGGTTGCCTGTAAGCAAATGTGGCAAAACATGTGGGCCTACCAAACAATCACCAAGAGTCCCTGCCCACAGATTAATGCTGTCTAAAATGGATTGCACCACGAGGACTCTCCTCTACCCACCAGTGTTGGTTGTGGTTGTTGAGGATGCTCTCTCTACAGAAATGTGCTTCATCTGTAAAGAGCACAGTTGAAACAGAAATGCTAAGCACTTGGTGCATTGAATCTCATGGAGGACATTTTTTGAACACTTATTATAAATGTACTCTTTCAGCTATAACTCACAAATTGAATGTTTCTGGACACATGTTGATATGGACATTTTTCTTATTTTGGTATGTGGAACTCATGCGCAAAGTTTATCTGGTCCTTTCAGTTACACCCTGTATAGATACATATTGTATATGAGAGATACTGCATTTGTCATATCTCTGTACATCTGATGATGAGATGAAACACCAGATTTGTAATGTGCATCAGATAATATTGAAGAGTTAGTGAAATAAAACTGGCCGCGCCATAGCTCAAGCGGTTAGTCGCTAGCTTCCCGCTGCGGTGGCCCAGGTTTGATCCCGGGTCTGATCAAGTGGGATTTGTGGTGGACAAAGTGGCACTGGGGCAGGTTTTCTCCGAGTACTTTGGTTTCCCCTGCCAATCTTCATTCCACCATTTGCTCCACAACTACCCTCACCTATCATCTGGGGCTGGTACAATGGGCCAGAAGTGGCCGCAGTACAAGGGACTTAGTTCCACCCCACCAGGAATAAAAAAAAATAATAGTGAAATAAAATAAGGTAAAGTGGTTTGGATTGAACTTGTTCAGATTTAGTTGCTAGTGTTTGTGTTAGCAATGCATAAACTAAGGGTCCTGTTACATATGTTGGACAATTAAATTACAACTTTTTTCTTTTGTACCAACTTTAATATCTGTTGGATTTTGTTTGTGATAGAATCAAGACTTGCTGCCAGTACCTGACACACCAACCCTTCTTTCTGTGGCACCGCCATTACTTGGCACCTCATCCTCCCCAGTACAGTCACAAGCCCCACTACTGGGCCCTGGTGAGGTAATAAAGACATCAGGAAAATTTGCCAAACCCACCAAGATACCAGGGAAGAATTATTGTAAGGATGAGGTTGTGATTCGTAATTCTGACTCTGGGAAAGGTTAGTATTACCTCCTTGTTTGTTTGTTACTACATGCTTGGAAAAAGCATTGCGTGCTTGATATAAGAAACAATTAAAAGAATTAGTTTTGTTCAAATGAAAATGAATTGAGACTTCTTCACAGTGATCTTGCTGAGCCATATGGATATCAGTATTTAACCCTGAAGAGGGCAATAGCAGGTTCCTCTGAAAAGTCTGTAATTTTAGCATCAGAAAACTGCATCAGATTTTTTAAATTTGATTTTATGAAGGTTGGTTTTCTTGTTACAATACATTTTATGTATATGGCTTTTTTATTGAAAATCTTGCAGTTTCCATTCTACACATGTTTGTGCAGAAGATTGTTTTCTTTGGGGAGGTGGGGGTTCTCAGATATACAATGAGAGGATTTTGGGGGTGGGAAGGGGATTAAGAGCCGTTCCCACAGAATAGAGAATTCTTTATAAGAATCTGTGGCGTTTGGTGATGTACTTTGTTGTCTTGCCAAGAAGCAAGATATTCTTTGTCATATGGAAAGATGTATTACGTAGGGATTCATGTATAGATTTTTTTGTGTATTTTTAACAAAAGTATTTATTATTTGAGGTGTTGTAAGACCGATTTCTTGACAAGGTAATGGGAAGTACAGAGTATGCTAGATTTATTATTGGTTTTCTTATGTAATAAGAAATTTATAAGCTATCCATGTATGTAATTAACTGAGAATCATGCTATGAAGACATATGGGGGAGTGGAAGTTCAGCTGTTTTGTACTTAAATGTGGCACTAGATGCATATGACTGGTCAGCTTCACACCCTTGCAACTTTACCCTTGTACCCATTGTTTATTACTAAATACTGGACAAAGCATCACATGCATAATGTGACTAATAAATAGGTAAAGGAAACCTATTTTATATAAATGAAATCTGGATGCTGTGAGGAAGAGAAAAATGTCTTGCACTGCCAAAAACTGAACCTTGAATCCTCATTGTCCAGACCATAGCCTAGTCTTGATACTGACTGTGTTATCCTGGCTCCCTTAGCAGTCTTACTGTGTTCGAGATATTCAGGGGAAGAAGTTTTCTTTTACTCTGTCTGCTTCAGTGTTTGGGCAACCTTGACACACTGTTCTTCTGCAGTAAAATTGGTCATATGTAGTTTTCCTCCATCAGCAGTCTGTTTTTGAGCGCTTTGGAGTTTGTTTATGATCAGTTCACATTTTCAATGAAAATATTTATACTCTCTTGATGGAAATTGCTTTGAAACAAGCCAGTTGTGAGCCAGAGTTCTTGCAAAAAGAATTCTTGTATTATTAATTTGGACTTGAGTAGATCAGAAACAGAAATAGGGACTGATAAGGGTTAAGTCAGAATATTTACATTTAGGAATGATATTTCAGTAGTTCAAGAGCTTAACCTTTGCCAGTCATTCACTATATTGCTGTAATGGTGTGGCTGCAGTCCATCTGACCAAGTGTTGCAAACTTTGCTAGCCATGCATCACACTGTTTTAACAGTGTGCCTGAAGTCCAGCTAACCAAATGCTGCTAGATTTACTGGCCACATATTGCATGGTTTTTACCAAACATTCACTCCCTCACCTCTTTCTTTTTTTATTGAAATAAATATGACAGTTACACTCATATTTATATTTATATTATTGTTCATGATCAGCTGAGTCCTGATTTTAACCTATTACTAGTTAAAACTCCACAGTTAAATTCCAGCAACCACCCTCTTAGTACAAGGGATTTTAATCCCCTTTTCCATAGTTTCATTCATTCATTCATTCATTCATTTTTTATTTGTTCACAAGATCTACATTTGGCGATATTGCCTCAGATATATGAGGGGGGACCCAAAAATAACGGAACCGACCTGTTGTGCGCGCATGCTTTGTAGTTACGAGTTGTGCTGCTAGGTGGTGTTAGCTGGGGGTCTCCCGCGACTGTTAGTGAGCTGGCGTCAGTCTGAGTTAAGTGGTTTGTCTGTGGTGCTCTGTTGTGTGCGTTCCTGTTTCAACCCTTTGGCGATTAGTGAGATGGCCGACCAGAAGGAACAAANGCACCACAGACAAACCACTTAACTCAGACTGACGCCAGCTCACTAACAGTCGCGGGAGACCCCCAGCTAACACCACCTAGCAGCACAACTTGTAACTACAAAGCATGCGCGCGCAACAGGTCGGTTCCGGTTATTTTTGGGTCCCCCTTTGTAGAACACGTCCATATAGTCTAAATGTCCGTAATGACAGTGTCATAACAGAATACAGAAAGTACAAATATACAAATGTAAGTTTAAAAACATCCAGAGAATCACGTTATAACAGAAAACCTCATATACATAATAACAGTTCACTATCATAACAGTAATTATAAGCACGCAAAACACATGGTAATGCCACCTATTTAACTTAAATTTCATCAATACAATTTAAGGTATCTAAAATATCTTTGAGGACAAGGTCCCATAATATACAAACAACTTATAGTACTAATAGATACAAAATAAACATTTATTTTATTCACAATTCATTAAAATTGGTTTCAGATTCAGTCATATTGCAATTACGATTTAAATCTTGTATCTTAAAAATATAATAAAATATTACATTTAATCCTTATAGTTATAGTTAAAGTATTCATCCATGGTATAAAATGAATGAAGAAATAAACAAATTTTTAATACCAATTTAAATTGTTCAGCATTTTGAGACATCTCCTTTATTGTGGCTGGTAAGCCATTAAACACCTTTATTCCTGCATAATAGGCCCCCTTCTGAAAAACTGTCAGTTGAGATAGTGGTTGATGTAAATCATGTTTTGCCCTGGTATAATATTCTGGGCCTGAGATATTGTGGTGGAAACCAGTTCAGAGAGTTGACTGTTTTGGTATCAAATAGGCAAGGCTCTTAAGTGCCATATTAGTTACAGCATAAAGTGATCAAAATCTGGGTGTTCTGAAATAGTCATCATGTTATAGGATTCATTAAAAGTGTACTTTGACATATTTTTTGATATGGTGTAGTGATGGGCATCAAGGGACGGCGTGTTCACATGATTGAGGAGCTGAGCGAGACCATCATTTCATTTCAGCGAGGTAAAGCCCCAGTGCACGCACACTTTAGGGGTTATAGTATTGTATAACAATTTGCATTGTGTGTGCCGCAGCATGGACTAATATAAATCAATTGTTGTTGAATGAACTGGTTGCTAGTGAATGTTGAACTAACCTGACATCTCTCATAACTGCTGTTTACTTATTTTACTGTTTTACAAGAAATTGAGGTTTATGGTATTGTGTGCATTTATCTGTTTGTCACCCAGTAACTACAGCTGACAGATTTCCATGAACCTTGGTATGGATCCCACACTACTGTGTTTTCTATTTTGCTGGTATCAGTAATGCCAAAATGGCAGCCTTAGAGGTAGAAGTGACCTAGTGCAGTCCTGAAATTTTGTGCGGTCATAGATGTTCAAAGTACATATAGTTTGTACAGAAGTCATGTTTTTGTAGAAAGTAAAACACCATGACCACTGTACAAAATCTGTTTAGCTCTTTTTGGTAATAATAACTAAACAACCATTGGAGCCAAGTTATGAAGTTTTCCATGGAGGTGGGTTATAAACCTGCCTACAAACTGCATTATAACACACACTTCTTCTTCTTCTGCCGATTCAAGGATTGAGTTGTGACCGGTTCCAAGACGTCACACATGTACCTGAAAATTTTGTTTCCAGTTTTTGTTGAATATTACAGACTTAAGGACAGAGCAGAATTTTGAGATTATATTAGAGAAGTTTAATCTATTCAGACTTCATGCAGTGGAAATACACAAAGAAAGGTATTACTAAATTGTGCTATAATTATTAATTTATAGTTCTTGCCAGCTTTGCAGTATATTTTGAAGCATGTGAAGGAAAATAGCCATCATAAATTCTTCCAGGAAGTTATTGGCTTTCCTTTCATGTACAGATTCCCATGATTTTATGACAACTTAGGTGAATCCTGAGGTTATGCTGAGTAAAAACATTGTATCAAGATGCGTCATATTCTCAGTGGTTCTGGAGCTATGGCTATTTGAAATGTAGTGCATGTGTACTGTAGGCATGAATGTTTTTGTGCAAAATTTTTTCAAAATGAACTGATGGCCCTTTCAGAGAATGTTTGTCTGTGAACATGATTTCAGAGATAATACAAGCATGACAGAGCACCCCTGCATTTCAGTAGGAGTGCCACATAGTATCTGAATGAACATTTTCCTGGCTGTTGGTTCAGCCATGGCATGGCCACTGTGTTCACCAGATCTCAGCAGCTTGGGTTACCATGTGTTGGCTCAAATAGGAGCACTGTGTATGAACACAAGGTGGATGCAAGAGACAGACTACTTCAGTGAGGTTTTTGATGCTGCAAGACACATTAATAACATTCCAGATTGAGCATTGAAGTTGACGTTGGCCATTTTGAACAATTTACTTAAGCTACACAAACTGTAAAGTGTAATAATTCTGCCTTTTCCCCCAAAAAATGTATCTTTCCAATAACAGACTGCTTCAAGTCAACGTACATTTCAGATACCCAAAAGTTCTGAAACCATTGAGAATAGGATCTATGTTGATACAACATATTTCACTGAGAATAACCTCAGGAATTACCTGAAGTTATGGCATCTTCATGAGACATCCTATATGCTCACATCTAATACCAAGACATATAACTTAGCAGCTGGTTTTTCTAAACACCACACTACTATGGAAGCTGCTTCATAGCCAGGAGGTAAAGGATTTGAATCTTGATAGGGCATGAACTTTTCTCTGATTAAATTCTCTTTTGGTGTTGTATAATCTCTGCAGTTAAGTTATCTTCATAAGAAAAAAACAATAGTTTCTTTTCCTTATGGCTATGAAAATTAACTGGCCAAGTTTTATAGGGCCTATGAAAATGATAGGTGTTGAGTGAAAAGTACCCCTCTCCCTTTTGTGTCTCTGGCTGTGAACTTTTGTTCTCTTGTTAACCGAGGAAATTACAGAAACTGTTCTCTGTCTGGCTTGTGAAATGTTTGTTTGTTATTTGATGACACTATCAGCATCAAGACTATATAGTGTTTATGAGAGGATGATTATTAAAATATTTGTATTATGACTAGCAGAGAATACTTAGATAACGAAATAATAGAGTAGCCTGTAAAGAACCTAATGCAAACACATTTGGAGTAAGTTATCAAGCCACATCATTTCCCCCACCTTTAACTGTGAGTCAACCCCCAACTTTCAGTTCAGTCATTGCCTGACATTCTTATTGTTCAGGTGTGTTCAACTTTCTATCAGTTTTTCAGTCTGGAAGAGCGTTTTACATTCATTCATTCATTCATTCATTTATTTATAGTTCCAAAAAATCCATAGAGGCATCTGCCTCAGATATAGAACAAGTCAATAATACAATATAACATATAAATATACATACATAATCAGATAGTCATCATTGTCAAAATTTAAATACTCAATACAGCAAAACTGCTGTACAGCAATACATTCTATATATCAAAATAACATTTAAAATTACATACACGATCAAAAGACCACCAAGATCCTTAATATACTAATATAAAATCTATTTTCTTAATATATAATACACCTGTATCACAACAGTAATAGCACCCTTTTCCTGAGTATTCATTCCACAGTCCATTGCATTCTAGCAATAGGCAACAGTGTTAATTTAAATATACATTTTATTCATTCATTCATTTATTACAGTTAAAAAATCCACAAAGGGGTCTGCTTCAAATATAGAAGAA